TGAAATATCAGCTGTTAACCTTATGGGGATTCCCTTGTGTGTTATTTGTTGTTTTTCCCTTGCTGCTTTTAATATGTTTTCTTTGTATTTAATTTTTGACAGTTTGATTAATATGTGTCTTGCTGTGTTTCTCCTTGGATTTATCCTGTATGGACTCTCTGTGCTTTTGGGACTTGATTAACTTTTTCCTTTCCCATATTAGGGAAGTTTTCAACTATAATCTCTTCAAATATTTTCTCAGTCCCTTTCTTTTTCTCTTCTTCTTCTGGAACCCCTATAATTCGAATGTTGGTGTGTTTAATGTTGTCTCAGAGGTCTCTGAGACTGTCCTCAGTTCTTTTCATTCTTTTTTCTTTATTCTGCTCTGCAGTAGTTATTTCCACTATTTTATCTTCCAGGTCACTTATCCATTCTTCTGCCTCAGTTATTCTATTGATCCCATCTAGAGTTTTTTGTGTGTTTTTTTGCGGTACGCGGGCCTCTCACTGTTGTGGCCTCTCCCGTTGCGGAGCACAGGCTCCGGACGTGCAGGCCCAGTGGCCATGGCTCACGGGCCTAGCCGCTCCGCGGCATGTGGGATCTTCCCGGACCGGGGCACGAACCCATGTCCCCTGCATCGGCAGGCGGACTCTCAATCACTGCGCCACCAGGGAAGCCCAAGAAAAAAATTCTTTAAAAAGAAAAAAAAATGGACAGGCAGAACGCTAGGACAAATGATAAAAGCAAAGCTATACAGACAAAATCACACACAGAAGCATACACATACACACTCACAAAGAGAAAAAGGGGGGAAAAAAATATATATATATCGCTGCTCCCAAAGTCCACCTCCTCAATTTCGGATGATTCGTTGTCTATTCAGGTATTCCACAGATGCAGGGTACATCAAGGTGATTGTGGAGATTTAATCCGCTGCTCCTGAGGCTGCTGGGAGAGATTTCCCTTTCTCTTCTTTGTTTGCACAGCCCCCAGGGCTCAGCTTTGGATTTGGCCCCGCCTCTGCGTGTAGGTCTCTGGAGGGTGTCTGTTCTTCGCTCAGACAGGACGAGGTTAAAGGAGCAGCTGACTCTGGGGCTCTGGCTCACTCAGGCCGAGGGGGGAGGGAGGGGTGCGGATGCGGGGCGAGCCTGCGGCGGCAGAGGCCGGTGTGATGTTGCACCAGCCCGAGGCTCGCCGTGCGTTCTCCCGTTCTCCCGGGGAAGTTGTCCCTGGATCCCGGGACCCTGGCAGTGGCGGGCTGCACAGGCTCCCCGGAAGGGAGGTGTGGAGAGTGACCTGTGCTCGCACACAGGCTTCTTGGTGGCGGCAGCAGCAGCCTTAGCGTCTCATGCCCGTCTCTGGGGTCCGCGCTGTTAGCCGCGGCTCGCGCCCGTCTCTGGAGCTCCTTTAAGCAGCGCTCTTAATCCCCTCTTCTCGCGTACCAGGAAACAAAGAGGGAAGAAAAAGTCTCTTGCCTCTTCTGCAGGTCCAGACCTTTTCCCGGACTCCCTTCCGGCTAGCCGTGGCGCACTAACCCCTTCAGGCTGTGTTCACGCTGCCAGTCCTCTCCCTGCGCTCTGACCGAGGCCTGAGCCTCAGCCCCCAGCCCCGCCCACCCCGGCGGGTGAGCAAACAAGCCTCTCGGGCTGGTGAGCGCTGGTCAGCACCGATCCTCTGTGCGGGAATCTCCCCGTTTTGCCCTCCGCACCCCTGTTGCTGTGCTCTCCTCCGCGGCTCCGATGCTTCCCCCCTCCGCCCCCCGCAGTCTCCGCCCGCGAAGGGGCTTCCTAGTGTGTGGAACCCTTTCCTCCTTCACAGCTCCCTTCCACTGGTGCAGGTCCCGTCCCTTTTCTTTTGTCTCTGTTTATTCTTTTTTCTTTTGCCCTACCCAGGTACGTGGGGAGTTTCTTGCCTTTTGGGAGGTCTGAGGTCTTCTGCCAGCGTTCAGTAGGTGTTCTGTAGGAGTTGTTCCACATGTAGATGTATTTCTGGTGTATCTGTGGGGAGGAAGGTGATCTCCACGTATTACTCTTCCACCGTCTTCCCGATTCCCACATCTCTAATTCTTGAATCCTAAGATTCGGGGGTAGAACTCCTGTTCACCCCATCAAATACCTGAAATCCACCTTAGACTTCAACCTTCTAGACAAATTTTGTTCTGTTATGTGGCTCTTGCCTGCCATGCTGCCACAATGTTTACACTGAAAACCTTATCTCCAGTTCTGACCAAGTCATCATGAAAAGGTTAACTTAGACCTTAGATGCAAGATAGGCACAAACTGAGCTCTCAGGAATATCACTGTCAACTGTCTCCCACATAAATGAAATATTTTAAAATAAAACATATATAAAAACTTCTCTGCCAGGGTCAGGAATTCAGGATTAGGTTTATTTATTTGTTTTTTTTTTATGATTCCCTTTCCTTTTATTACTCAGGCTAATATTAAAGCAAGGCTTGAATTCTGAGAACTTGCACCCACATACGGGGAGTGCTGACAGCTCAGGAGCAGTTTCCATGACAGGAGAAAGCCAACTCCAAATTCTGTATTTGCTGTGGCTAATCCACGAGTGGCCAATTGAGAATTGTGGTAAAATTTAGGGGAGGAATGGACAGAAATCTGGGCGAAGGTGGGTTATTACCACACCCAGGATTATCTTTAAGAAGCAAGTCTTGGCTGCTCTTCTCAATATCCTGAAAGTTCAAAACAAATTTACGGACAGGCCAAGATGGGAACCATCTATGTATACATGAGTGATTCCTAAAAATCTTTCTGTAGCCAAACAAACTCCATCTGGGTGCTCCTAAATTGCACCATACATGGCGCATCCTCTGAGTTCAGTATTGTCCTTTCTAGGCTCCTCTTAAAATGCAAATAGTGCCGGATCAATTTAACATTCCAGATTACAAGAGAGCTAGGAACCAAGTGGAGAGACCTTTTAAGGGTGGAAAACACCCTGAAGAGCAGTCAAGTTGCTGAATTCAAACTTGAAGTTACATTCATGTTTGCTTGGGAGTTTCTGAGTGCCTGGGGTCAACAGCCTCCCACTATATACCCTTTCCTTTTTCTGTGCTGACTGGTATGCATAGAGTGGGGACCGAAAGAGTCCCCAGCTGAGCAGACACAAAGCATCAGCCACCCAGAGACCAGACAACTTATGGAAGAAGATGGGCCATGTCTGTCTGTGTTTCTTTCCCCTAGGGGTACAAGAGGACAGGCACTTCTAGGAGGAGGTAGTGAGATGGATACCAGGAAGAACAGAAATATGAGCTACCAGATTGGTAGGTACCTCAGTTCCGCAGCTCCCTTAAGTCCTAATTGAAAAGAATAAGCAGTCACCTCTTCTTCTTTTTAAATTAATTTATTTATTTTTGGCTGCATTGGGGCTTTATCTAGTTGTGGCGAGCGGGGGCTACTCTTCCATTGTGGCGCGGGCTTCTCATTGCGGTGGCTTCTCTTGTTGCGGAGCACGGGCTCCAGGCGCACAGGCTTCACTAGCTGTGGCTCGCGGGCTCTAGAGTGCAGGCTCAGTAGTTGTGGCGCATGGCCTTCGTTGCTCCGCAGCATGTGGGGTCTTCCCAGACCAGGGCTCGAACCTGTGTTCCCAGCATTGGCAGGTGGATTCTTAACCACTGTGCCACTAGGGAAGCCCTAAGTAGTCACCTCTTCTCAAGGTATTCGATAGAGGTATGAAGGAGGGTTGAAAAGTGCTCTGAAATCTTTATCATCCCTGACTCAAAAGAAGGACTACCTTGTTGACCTAAAGAAACAGACAATTAGAAGAGATTTCCTGCCTGACATCTGGGTGGGATATAGCATTAGGATCTCCAGTATATTTGCTACTTATTGATGAAAAGGACAGTTCTCAGGGTCTTCAGCCAAGAGGTGTAGCCAAGTGGTTCCTGTCTAGAGCACCAGAACCAGATAAGCACACATGCACACTTCCCTTGAGTAGAAACTTCCATCAAGCCTGCTCTTTGGGCGTGGCAGCCAGGGTTCCTGTGGGACATGTCATGATCCAGAGGAAGAGCAGAGCATTTACTCCCAGTCTTCAGCTTCCAGATGAGGACAGCTGACCCAAGACTATTTTTGTTTTCTTCTCAGATCCTTTTATTTATTTATTTATTTATTTTAAAATTCTGACTTCCTTGCAGTTAGGAAGTCAGAATTTCTTTTTTAAAATAATTAATTAATTAGTTAATTAAGAGCTGTGTTGGGTCTTCATTTCTGTGCGAGGGCTTTCTCTAGTTGTGGCAAGCGGGGGCCACTCTTCATCGCGGTGCGCGGGCCTCTCACTGTCGTGGCCTCTCTTGTTGCGGAGCACAGGCTCCAGACGCGCAGGCTCAGTAGTTGTGGCTCACGGGCCTAGTTGCTCCGCGGCATGTGGGATCTTCCCAGACCAGGGCTCGAACCCGTGTCCCCTGCATTAGCAGGCAGATTCTCAACCACTGCGCCACCAGGGAAGCCCAGATCCTTTTATTTATTAGCCAAAGAAGGGGGGTGGGCTTTGGTTCGTGATCTTCAGTAAAGCCTAGGTCTTGCCCAATGAAGGGAGATGGTAATTGGCCCATTATTAACAAGAGGTAATTTTTGTTTATGAGATGTTAAGAATTACTCCATGGTTTAGAGGTGGGCATAGTGGTCATATACCTCAAACTTTCGGGGATCCCCTCTGAAATCTTCTATTTTCCTTTTCTAATTATGGGTATCCTGTAACTGATTTAACTCCTTTTGGGGTAGACCCTGTTTCTATCTTTAGCCTGTTCCACCTACATGTACTTGGGCTTACATGAAGTTTTGTTCTGTTCTACATTTACCTCTTTTTAACTCACGTGTTTGTATCTTCTGTATTTGGTGAATATGTCTATATTCATGCTTCCCATTCTTTTCATGATTGTATAGACTCATCACCTTCTCCCTCAAACTTCATCTTTCAGGACCAGGAGTTTTCACTTGGGAGGGGAGGGATATAGAAGAGAAGGGAAGAAATTTATCAGAAACATTTGGGGAATTCTTCCAAATACAGCAGGTCTGCTCACCCCTCCCCTGAGTATACCAAAACCTTGGCTGGGGAAATTAGCATTTTTTGAGAATTTCCACATTTAGTTCCAATGGTCAACTCCCTCTACCCTTTTGAACTGAAGGAGTTCACACTCCTTCATCATGGACAAAGATGATGGATGGACAGGGTGCAAAGATGAATTTCTTGGGTCATCACTGTGTTGAACTGAAGACCCTGATCTTTTTGTTCTTCATGAAGCACTTCCTTCATTTTGTGATAGCTCATGTTGATATTCAGATGGAATAAAGTTTCCATTCATTGTGGGACTGATAGTGTTTGGGGATTGCAATGAAACCTTGCAATCATAAAATTTAAACTGGTACTTAACTACAAAGGTCGGCGACATCAGACCTGCACTGATGCAGATCCACCTAATCCAGTAGCTTCTTCACTTGCTTTACTCCTGGTTGTCCCTGGACAGATTCCTCAAGTGACTGAAGGCAACGAGAGATGGAAAGGGCCAACAGCAGCTCCTTGGAGAGCTTTATTCTGATGGGTGTATCTGACCATCCCCAGCTGGAGATAATCTTTTTTGTAGTCATCCTCTTCTCCTACTTGCTGACCCTTGTTGGGAACTCAACCATGATCCTGCTTTCCAGCCTGGATGCCCGGCTCCACACACCCATGTACTTCTTCCTCAGTAACCTCTCCTCCCTGGATCTTGCTTTTACTACTAGCTCAGTCCCCCAAGTGCTGATCATCTTGTGGGGATCAGACAAGACCATCAGCTATGGTGGCTGTGTGACCCAACTCAATGTTTTCCTCTGGCTAGGGGCTACTGAGTGCATCCTGCTCTTGGTGATGGCATTTGACTACTATGTCGCGGTGTGCTGGCCCCTGCACTACACCACCATCATGAACCCCCGGCTCTGCTGGCTGCTGGCTGCCATTACCTGGTTGGGTGGCTTGGGCAACTCTGTGGTCCAGTCAACCTTCACTCTGCAGCTCCCTTTGTGAGGGCACCAGAGGGTGGACAGCTTCCTGTGTGAGGTGCCCGCCATGATCAAACTAGCCTGTGGAGACACAAGTCTCAATGAGGCTGTGCTCAATGGTGTCTGCACCTTCTTCACCACTGTCCCATTAAGCATCATCCTGACCTCCTACTGCTACATAGCTCAGGCAGTGCTGAAGATCCACTCGGCCAAGGGACAGAGAAAGACCTTTAACACGTGCCCCTCTTATCTGGTGGTGGTACTCCTCTTTTATGGCTCAGCTATCTATGGGTATCTGCTTCCAGCTAAGACCAGCAACCAGGACAAATTCATTTCCCTCTTCTACTCTGTGGTCACACTCATGGTGAACCCTCTCATTTACACTCTGAGGAACAAGGAGGTGAAGGGGGCGCTGAGGAGGCTGCTGGGGAAGTCAGCTGAAGGAAGGGAAAACTATCATTTACCACCTCTTCATCTCTACAAGTTTTTTCTCATTCTCTCTGGCCAGGTGAACATGAGGAGTACTGACCGCAGTACAAGCATGTTCTTGACAGCACTAAGCTGTTGGTACATGGTTAATGTTATTTCTTTTTTTTTGAGGTTAAAGGGATTTTTTTTTAACATCTTTATTGGGGTATAATTGCTTTACAATGGTGTGTTAGTTTCTGCTTTATAACAAAGAAAATCAGTTATACATGTACATATTTCCCATATCTCTTCCCTCTTGCGTCTCCCTCCCTCCCACCCTCCCTATCCCACCCCTCCAAGTGGTCACAAAGCACCGAGCTGATCTCCCTGTGCTATGCGGCTGCTTCCCACTAGCTATCTACCTTACGTTTGGTAGTGTATATATGTCCATGCCTCTCTCTCGCTTTGTCACAGCTCACCCTTCCCCCTCCCCATATCCTCAAGTCCGTTCTCTAGTAGGTTTGTGTCTTTATTTATTTTATTTATTTATTTTTTTGCGGTACGCGGGCCTCTCACCGCTGCGGCCTCTCCCGTTGCGGAGCACAGGCTCCGGACGTGCAGGCTCAGCGGCCATGGTCCACTGGCCCAGCTGCTCCGCGGCACATGGGACCCTCCCGGATCGGGGCACGAACCCGTGCCCCCCGCATCGGCAGGCGGACTCTCAACCACTGCGCCACCAGGGAAGCCCGTTAATGTTATTTCTAATGTTCTACACTTCTTTACCAAATATCCTACTGTGGACCACAGATAACAGGGCAGATGTGTCATCAATGACTCAGAGGTTGTTGACTTAGTACAGACTTAGTTCACTGTCACTGCTGTCCACATTTTATTACGTGTAATAAATATTACATATGTATTATTGTATTTCTAGAGAATTCTGTACTTTTCTAAAGAAAGCACCTCCACTTGGCAGTATCTTATATAATTCCATAAAATCAAGCCAGGTTTTATTAGCCCCAGTTGAAAACCCAAGAATTCATCTTTGCACCCTATCCATCCATCATCTTTGTCCATCTCTCTTTGTCTTTTCTTAATGTTTCAGTCTATCTACCCACACTTCCCAGTCATATGCCCCTCTGTCATCTTGTTTAACCTCTATTTTATGTGTACATTCCATTTTCCCTTTTGCCTTATCCAATGTTGAATGAGAAATGGTAGGAAGGAGATTGGTTCAAGATGACGGAGTAGAAGGATGTGCTCTCACTCCCTCTTGTGAGAGCACTGGAATCACAATCATCAACAGGAAGACACTGGAACTCACCAAAAAAGATACCCCACATCCAAAGACAAAGGAGAAGCCACAATGAGACAGAAGGAGGGGCACAATCACAATAAAATCAAATCCCATAACTGCTGGGTGGTTGACTCACAAACTGGAGAACACTTATACCACAGAAGTCCACTGGAGTGAAGGTTCTGAGCCCCACGTCAGGCTTCCAACCTGGGGGTCCGGCAACAGGAGAAGGAATTCCCAGAGGATCAGACTTTGAAGGCGAGCGAGATTTGACTGTAGGATTTTGACAGGACTGGGAGAAACAGAGACTCCACTCTTGGAGGGCACACACAAAGTAGTGTGCACATCGAGTCCCAGGGGAAGGAGCAGTGACCCCCCATAGGAGACTGAACTAGACCTATTTGCTAGTGTTGGAGGGTCTCCTGCAGAGGCAGAGGGTGGCTGTGTCTCACCATGTGGACAAGGACACTGGCAGCAGAAGTTCTGGGAAGTACTCCTTGGTGTGAGCCCTCCCAGAGTCCGACATTAGCCCCACCAAAGAGCCCAGGTAGGCTCCAGGGTTGGGTCACCTCAGGCCAAACAACCAACAGGGAGGGAACCCAGCCCCACCCATCAGCAGACAAGCGGATTAAAGTTTTACTGAGCTCTGCCACCAGAGCAACAGCCAGTTCTACCCACCACCAGTCACTCCCATCAGGAAAGTTCCACAAGACTCTTAGATAACCTAATCCACCAGAGGGCAGACAGCAGAAGCAAGAAGAACTACAATCCTGCAGCCTGTGGAACAAAAACCACACTCAGAAAGATAGACAAGATGAAAAGGCAGAGGGCTATGTACCAGATGAAGGAACAAGATAAAACCCCAGAAAAACAACTAAATGAAGTGGAGATAGGCAACATTCCAGAAAAAGAATTCAGAATAATGATAGTGAAGATGATCCAGGACCTCCAAAAAGAATGGAGGCAAAGATCGAGAAGATGTAAGAGATGTTTAAAAAAGACCTAGAAGAATTAAAGAACAAACAAACAGAGATGAACAATACAAAAACTGAAATGAAAACTACACTAGAAGGAATCAATAGCAGAATAACTGAGGTAGAAGAACAGATAAGTGACCTGGAAGACAGAAAGGAGGAATTCACCTCTGCGGAACAGAATAAAGAAAAAAGAAATAAAGACAGCCTAAGAGACCTCTGGGACAACATTAAACGCAACAACACTCGCATTATAGGGGCCTCAGAATGAGAAGAGAGAGAGAAAGGACCTGAGAAAATATTTGAAGAGATTATAGTCGAAAACTTCCCTAACATGGGAAAGGAAATAGCCACCCAAGTCCAGGAAGCGCAGAGAGTCCCATAAAGGATAAACCCAAGGAAACACACTGAGACATATAGTAATCAAATTGGCAAAAATTAAAGACACAGAAAAATTATTGAAAGCAGCAAGGGAAAAATGACAAATAATATACAAGGGAACTCCCATAAGGTTAAGAGCTGATTTCTCAGCAGAAACTGTACAAGCCAGAAAGGAGTGGCATGACATATTTAAAGTGATGAAAGGGAAGGACCTACAACCAAGATTACTCTACCCGGCAAGGATCTCATTCAGATTCAATGGAGAAATCAAAAGCTTTACAGACAACCAAAAGCTAAGAGAATTCAGCACCACCAAACCAGCTCTACAACAAATACTAAAGGAACTTCTCTAAGTGGGAAACACAAGAGAAGAAAAGGGCCTACAAAAACAAACCCAAAACAATTAAGAAAGTGGTAATAGGAACATACATATCAATAATTACCTTAAACGTGAATGGATTAAATCCTCCAACCAAAAGACACAGGCTTGCTGAATGGATACAAAAACAAGACCCATATATATGCTGTCTACAAGAGGCCCACTTCAGACCTAGGGACACATACAGACTGAAAGTGAGGGGATGGAAAAAGATATTCCATGCAAATGGAAATCAAAAGAAAGCTGGAGTAGCAATACTCATATCAGATAAAATAGACTTTAAAATACACAATGTTACAAGAGACAAGGAAGGACACTACATAATGATCAAGACATCAATCCAAGAAGAAGATATAACAATTATAAATATATATGCACCCAACATAGGAGCACCTCAATACATAAGGCATCTGCTAACAGCTATAAAACAAGAAATCGACAGGAACACAATAATAGTGGGGGACTTTAACACCTCACTTACACCAATGGACAGATCATCCAAACAGAAAATTAATAAGGAAACCCAAGCTTTAAATGACACAATAGACCAGATAGATTTAATTGATATCTATAGGACATTCCATCCAAAAACAGCAGATTACACTTTCTTTTCAAATGCGCACAGAACATTCTCCAGGATAGATCACATCTTGGGTCACAAATCAAGCCTCAGTAAATTTAAGAAAATTGAAATCATATTAAGTATCTTTTCTGACCATAATGCTATGAGATTAGAAATCAATTACAGGGAAAAAAAGTAAAAAACACAAACACATGGAGGCTAAACAATATTTTACAAAATAACCAAGAGATCACTGAAGAAATCAAAGAGGAAATCAAAAAATACCTAGAGACAAATGACAATGAAAACATGACGATCCAAAACCTATGGGATGCAGCAAAAGCAATTCTAAGAGGGAAGTTTATAGCAATACAATCCTACCTCAACAAACAACAAACATCTCAAATAAATCTAACCTTATACCTAAAGGAACTAGAGAAAGAAGAACAAAATAACCCCAAAGTTAGTAGAAGGAAAGAAATCATAAAGATCAGAGCAGGTATAAATGAAAAAGAAACAAAGAAAACAATAGCAAAGGTCAATAAAACTAAAAGCTGGTTCTTTGAGAAGATAAACAAACTTGATAAACCATTAGCCAGACTCATCAAGAAAAAAAGGGAGAAGACTCAAATCATTAAAATTAGAAATGAAAAAGGACAAGTTACAACAGACACCGCAGAAATACAAAGCATCGTAAGAGACTACTACAAGGAACTCTATGCCAATAAAGTGGACAGCCTGGAAGAAATGGACAAATTCTTAGAAAGGTATAACCTTCCAAGACTGAACCAGGAAGAAATAGAAAATATGAACAGACCAATCACAAGTAATGAAATTGAAACTGTGATTAAAAATCTTCCAACACACAAAAGTCCAGGACCAGATGGCCTCACAGGTGAATTCTATCAAACATTTAGAGAAGAGCTAACACCCATCCTTCTCAAACTCTTCTAAAAAATTGCAGAGGAAGGAACACCCCCAAACTCATTCTATGAGACCACCATCACCCTGATACCAAAACCAGACAAAGATACTACAAAAAGAGAAAATTACAGACCAATATCACTCATGAATATAGATGCAAAAATCCTCAGTAAAATACTAGCAAACAGAATCCAACAACACATTAAAAGGATCATACACCATGATCAAGTGGGATTTATCCCAGAGATGCAAGGATTCTTCAATATACACAAATCAATCAATGTGATACACCATATTAACAAATTGAAGAAGAAAAACCATATGATCATCTCAATAGATGCAGAAAAAGCTTTTGACAAAATTCAACACCCATTTATTATAAAAACTCACCAGAAAGTGGGCATAGAGGGAACCTACCTCAACATAAAAAGGGCATATATGACAAACCCACAGCAAACATCATTCTCAATGGTTAAAAATGAAAGCATTTCCACTAAGATCAGGAACAAGACAAGGATGTCCACTCTCACCACTATTATTCAGTATAGTTTTGGAAGTCCTAGCCACAGCAATTAGAGAAGAAAAAGAAATAAAAGGAATACAAATTGGAAAAGAAGAAGTAAAACTGTCACTGTTTCCAGATGACATGATACTA